ACAGAATGGTGCAATGTGAGTCAGCATAGCAGGCCCAGAATGCAACGGTGCAGCAGGCCATGGAGATTCATGAAGCGTCTGGGTTCAGTGTGCGCATTGCTAATCCTGTGATACTCATCCATAAATTTTGTAAGCACTGGAGCAAATTAAAGGGAAATAAAAGTAAAAGCAATAAGCAAGTATATAAATCTAAGATAGATTATTAATTAATCCAATTAAAAGGAGTTTTAAATTTTTCTTTAAAATTTGCATTAGTATATATAGAAAGGAATTGCATTAGGATATTTTCATACGTCTATGTAGTGTGTTATGATCATATTCATACACCCTTTGTTGCTTTCTCTTCTTCCCCTTCCTTCTGCTATTAATATTTTGTCTTTCTTTTGTGTGTGAACAGACCTAATACATTTCTTTGGGGTTCACAGGAGTCTGTGTTTTGGGGGGCAGTGTGCTGACAGAAGCATGTGTACTTTACCAGTGACTACATCACTGAAGGAGGCCCCTCCCTCCTCTGCTGAACTTTCTCTTCGTCTAAATGCTCAAGGAGGTGTGAAGAACCATAAGCCCCTCCATTTCATGACAGGCACAATCTTGTGGAGATGCCATGCAAACAATCACAGCCGCTGTAAGTTCAAGGGTCGGCGGCACAGTGTATGGGGGAGTCAAAGTTCTCTCATGCCCCTGCCTTTTTCTGAGGCTCTCACATTCTTCCCATCCCTCACTTTCCTCCTCCACACCAGGGCTTATGACCTCCCAAGTCACAGGCTTTTGACCAGGTTTGCAGTACCAAACATCAATTTCCTCCTGTTGGGAAAAGGTCTCAAGTACAATGAGGAAGTGGTTAGTTACTACCTGAAATCACTCCCAGACTGAACACCAGAAAGCTCACCTTGCCTGGCAAGTCAGTGTTTTGTTTTTGTTTTGCTGTTGTTGCAGCTCTCTCTTTCTTTCTTTCTTTCTTTCTTTCTTTCTTTCTTTCTTTCTTTCTTTCTTTCTTTCTTTCTTTCTTTCTTTCTTTCTTTCTTTCTTTCTT